ATCATTTTCCTAGATATTTAGTCTCAATATGAAATGAGGAATCTCTTGCTTTGCACACGTGAGAATTATGTCCGGTAAAACTTTACGTGTTTTTCTCAATGATCTCTCCCTGTCGGCCCTCTGGGTTGAGTAGCTGATGGAGGATGGTTCCATGGTCAGACTTCTCGCACTGTCTGTAGTTTGTATTTCTCTCCATAGCTATTGCATGAGCTGCGCTGAATTCGTGTTTACTGAGAGCATAGTCGATATGTTTCCAGTCCCTGTAACCATGGCGACTGAATGTATCTTCTCCGCCGGCCCCGCCTCTCTCACTAAAATGCCGACACATTTTACAAAACACACTGTCCTTGCTAATGCTATACTCCAAGAATGTGTACTTGTCATACCAGTGGGCGGCGGAGCTCCTTTTCTTTTGTCCGAAAAGTGTCTGAGGGTACTTTATGAGATTTGGCTGTGTAGCCGCCGGGTCATCTATGCCGAGGTCCGGCACTGGGATGCTATTTTCTGTTATCCTGCAACGGGTACTACGTCCCGCAGAGGGACTGAGCTCAGCGGGGCACAACATTAAACACAATCTCGTCTCTCTAAGGCGGCACCTGCTGTGAGGATGACTCTTCTTACTCTTTAAAATGAAAACCTGAACATCGATTGTTGTGACATCGTTAGTGAGTGCGGTATATTTTTTGTGTCTGTCCAGTCCACTGTCCTCCTTCATCTGCGCGCGCCCGCGAGACGTTCTACGATGTGTTTGCTCGATGTGGCCATCACTACTGTCTTGTCAACAAAACGATTGACTACCCTCACTATCACCACAATGAAACACGTCCTGAAGAATGTCATGCAAAGCTGCCTGCCTGCCTTCCTTTGATTCTCTCTGAACTGCCTGGTCGTTTTAATGTTTAATGTCAACCATTTGTGCAGATAGCATGAAGTAGAGAAGATCGCCGATGCTAGCGTTAGCGTTAGCATTTCTCCCCCGGGCTTAAATTGTGTATTATAGAATGATCACACCGGTGACAGTACTATTCAAAGGGTTCACGAAATATGACTACTACTCTTACTGTTTAACATTTTGGGTTACTTAATGTTACTTCATGTTAAGGCTAATAAAAATGACAAGGCTGTAATGCTAACTAACGTGCTAGCTACTAGCTAGCTTGATCCAGACACTCCTGATCCTTTCATCAGACGGGAAGCGAAAGAACGAGCAAGACCCATTGCTGGTATGAACAACCTGGTACTAAGCACACAGGCATCTTGTTAAAGTTATCTTATCTTAGCCAGCGCCATATAGATAGATTCTATCTATATGGTGCTGATCTTAGCTATCTCTTAGTGGAGGAAAACAATTGTGACATCACTTACGCGACTCTGGGATTTGTAGTCTTTCTAGTTGCATATTTTTCATAGTCTTATATTTCAACAGTTTTACGACATACTGTGACTTTTTTGACATGGAAATGATTTTTTAAGATTGACAAACATCATATGTGTAATTCATGGCACAATTCAAACGGGATCGAAAGATAAGTTTTCTCTCTCCATTGACTTCAATACATTATTTTTCCGAAATAAGGTCCCATGGACCGGAAGTAGATGGGCGTGACTTCGCCACTCTATAGAGAGAGAGTTATGACAATGGAAGTCCAAAATGCTTGATCGTCACGTGGTTCAGGGAGAATCAATAGTTCCCCGGAAGTTCGTGGCGGGACATTTGAATGCATGATTACCGGAGATCGGACTACGATTTTTGTAGTGAATAAAGGTTTTGATTTGCAATATTTATACAACATACCGATATGTGTATGTATTTACATCAATATGTTTTAAAAATAAAATAGAATCTGATAATATTTATGGGTAATATTAGGAATAGTGTGAACAGCTAGTTTACTTGTTAACATATACATGTTAGGCTAACGTTGCCTTGGTTAAAGAGCCTGTTGCTGTTGTGTATTGCTTTGAATTATTTAAAACAAATATTATCTTCTTAAACATCACTTCCTAATGTTTATTGATATATTTAGAGGGAGGGGATGGCAAGGAATGCTTCAAAATTTAGATTAGATTAATTTCTACCATTTTTTTAATTCATGGTGGTTTCAGTAATCCCATGGTACTTGAGGACATAAGTAATCTAAATGACTAATGTAATCTTTATGACTTTCAGAAAGGACAGGAGACCAACAGGTGACTATCAACAGCATGATTATGACGTTATATGTGTTGTTTTAGGAACATCCATTGTAAATACATGGAATTCAATAAACATTGAATAGCATGTCATGCAGTTTGTCTGTGCCTTTTCCTCTGTGTTGTCCTGGCATATAGTCTCCACCATGGTTTGCTGTGCTGCCTGGGGATGCTCCAATCGTTCCGAAAAAGGAGTATGAATGAGAATGTACGGCTTCTCCACTGACACAGAGAGGAGGAAAAAATGGCTAGCTCAAGTCAGCAGGAGCAATTTAACCATCAAAACAGACAACCGCAACAAAATATGTGAGGTAATCATATTCAAACACTGCATTTGCACTTTTTCACAAAACGAAGACCACACCATTGGGAAGCTTAATGTTTGGTTTAATACAAATAACAGGGAAAGGCTTGAAAGACTCTGAGAGTTGAGACTCAGGGTGCAGAGTGAGGGTCTCAGTGCAGGTATTCAGGCTCTATTGAATCCCCCTCTGGTTCTTGTGCTGAAAGAGGGAGACACAGACAGGAGAAAGGGTTATACACACCTATATAGCACACCTATTGGATGGGAAATTGCCTTGGGGAGATAAGGTGTGGTCTTTGTTTCCAACTGAAGTTATGGAACTTTATTATTTGTGAGTTTAACAAAGTATGACAAATGGCATCAGTAATGGATGTGATATGAATTTGTATAAACAGGGATGCAAACTTGTCACCTTTTGGCGAAATTCGCCGTTTTGAATCCAAAATAGGTCATTTGTGTGATTCATGTAGATCTGCAATAAAAATATTTTCGGGGTATGGGGGGGGTCTGGGACCCGGAATAATCTGCGGCCGTGAGCTGTTATGTGCCATCATGACACGCATGGTGTTCTTTTTTTATATATTATAATGCAGCGCGAGCTGTGTGCTCGAGTCTTCCTGCCTGTCGGCTCTGCTCATGGATGTATAATAAGGCTCTGCCGCTCCGCTATGATGGTCTAGCTTAATTAGCTACATTACCTACGGGTGCGTTCGTTAATATTAACTGTGCGGTCCGGAGTCACTGTGGCACAGACTGGACCGCTGGTGAACAGCTGTTAGAACGGGCCGTTCAGGTGTTCAGAGCAGAGCTCCCTGTCGGAGCGGCAGAGCGTGATGTGCACTGAAAAGTTTTTCTGTCGCAATATTATCGTTGAGCTAGCTAACTAGCATACATTGTCACTATCTGCTAACGTTAGCTTTAGCCTTCGTTTTCTAATAGTGTTTTTCATAGGCTATAAACGGAGGTGGTATAAGTATAGATCTTGTACTTGAGTAAAAGTAGAAGTACTCAGGTCTTGTACTTGAGTAAAAGTAAAAGTACTCAAATCTTGTACTTGAGTAAAAGTATAAGTACTCAGGTTTGAGTAAAAGTAGAAGTACCAGAGTGTAGGAACAATCCTGCAATCAAAATGTTCCTCAAATAAAAGTACAAAAGTATTATCATCAAAATATAGTTAAAGTAGCTACAGTAAAAGTAGAAGTACTCAGATCTTGTACTTGAGTAAAAGTAGAAGTACTCAGGTCTTGTACTTGAGTAAACGTAGAAGTACCAGAGTGTAGGAATACTCTGTTACAGTAAAAGTACTGCATTCAAAATATTCCTCAAGTAAAAGTATAAAAGTATTATCATTAAAATATAGTTAAAGTAGCGACAGTAAAAGTAGTAATTGTGCAGATTGGTCCATTTCAGAATAATATATATGATATGTTTTATAATGATTGATCATGAAAGTGTTCTCAAAGCTGGTAAAGGTGCAGCTAGTTTGAATGACTTTGTATACTGCAGGGTAGCTTGTGAATTGACTCCAGGTGGAACTAAAGTCTGATTTAACACTTGATTATATTTCACATCATTCATCCAAATCTGAAAAGTAACTAAAGGTATTACATACATGTAGTGGAGTAAAAGTACACCATTTACCTCTGAACTGTAGAGGAGAAGAAGAACAAAGTAGCAAAACATTGAAATACATAAATAAAGTACAAGTATCTCAAAATTGTACCCAAGTATAGTACTTGTTGAGTTTATGAACTTAGTTACTTTACACCAGTGGCTATAAAGATAGAAAGACTAAGCCTTGCACAGAGGCATGAAAATACATTTTCAAAATGCTCAACAGTGCTGCCAAAATTATAAACTGACTGCTACACAATTAAAATAAATGCTTTTATATATTTCTATTAGATGTGACTCTTTGGCATTTCTGTTATTATTAACACTGCTGCTTTAGTTGTTCTGACTGCTAACATCCTCTGTTATTCCTCATTTTATAGCCGATATTCCTAGGGGTTGGGGGGGCTCGGATCCTTGTCACCTTTTTCATACCTGATGAGTTTGCATCCCTGATAAAGTTGTCTCACATTCTTGGTCGTATTTTACGTACAGTATGTAATGAGTGTATACATGTCCAGTAAGTATGAAGTGTTTCCCAATACTGTGCATTCAACTACTATGGGATATGTATGTGGGCAGACAAAACTGAGTTGTTGTGTGTGTGTGTGTGTGTGTGTGTGTGTGTGTGTGTGTGTGGTGTGTGTGTGTGTGTGTGTGTGTGTGTGTGTGTGTGTGTGTGTGTGTGTGTGTGTGTGTGTGTGACTCTGTCACTCTGCAGGCACATTTTGATGCAGACCAGTTTGTCAAGACCAAAAAGGGCAAGACTAGGCTGAGAGCAGATGCTATTCCCACCATCTTTGTGCATCGGCCTGTGGTCAAAAAGAGGAGGGCCCCTGCACCACGATGCACCCCGGGACCTGTAAATACAGAGCCCGGGGCAGGTCTTCATAATTCCTGAGGATGTTGTAAACAGAGAGAACCTCCCCTCTAACGAGGTTTCAGTGGTCCCCATTAAGGACTTATTGACCTTTCAAGAAGGGATGGCATTAAAAATAGCTCCCCATCTTTCAGCAGCAGCCATCGAGCCAAGTCACTTTGATAAGATGAAGGTTGGTCTTGCTCTAAATGTATTCAGTAAGGCTACAAGTGCTGGGCTGAAATACATGGTGCAGCAAGAAAACCGCCCTCTGTCCTACCTGACGACAGCGTGGTTCCTGGAGCAGGTTGATCGTTGGTTTGATCTCATGTCATCTCGCCATCCAATTACAGCCCTGAGCAGGCTCAAGATGGAGGAGTACCAAAAGGCCATCACCTTCCTCCAGAACATCGTCCATCTGTTTCGTTGGATGAAGATTGGTCAAAAGGGAGGTTGGAAGCCTGTTCAAATAGGGGTGATAATGGTAACAACATCAATTTTGGCCATACAGGAGGATATGCTAACACGAGGTCCCAGGTTTGTGTTAACGTCAAGGTTCACACAAGACTGCCTTGAAAATACCTTCAGCTGTGTGAGGTCTAAAAATCCTGTCCCAACTCCAGTGGAATTCCATCATGCACTGAGAATCATATCTGTGGGGCAGTTCCTCACCACCATCAGCTCTGGGAGCTATCAGGAAGACCACAGTAGCTTTTTGGCAGACTTCCTGGACACAGTGGAGCAAAATATCACTCCATCAGTCAGAGTGGAACCGCTGATGGCGGTGAACAGAGCAGCACCTCACCTCACAAAAACTGAGAAATGTATTCTCTTTCATCTTGCAGGCTACATCGTCCACAAAGTCATCAAGTTTGCCAGCATCTGTGAAAAATGCAAAATTGCAACAGAGCACAATGATCAGAGTCCTTCTGGTGAAAACAGCATTTTAGTGAACTTAAAAGACTTCAAGGCAGGTGCTCTTTGTCGTCCCTCCCTCCCAAGAAGCCTTTGATTTCATTCACCAAATTGAGGAACTATTTAGGACCAAGACTGGTTCCTCCCTCATGCAGCTCCCCAACACAGTGGGTGTCTTGGAGAAAGAAGCTCAGGCACTCAAGACAAAATCATTAGAAGATTCATACGGCTGAGGCTGAGAATCGAGGCAAAACAAATCCGAAATGACAGGAAAAATAAACCCTTAAAAGATGGCCATCTTGGAAGCAAGAGCCAATCCAAAAAGGTGAAGAGGAACAACAGCAGCCAAGATTCAACATCCAGCAACCCCCAAAAAAATCCACAGCTGCTATCAAACCCATTAGTTGTTGCAATGGAAATATTTGGACTAACCATTGCCCCTCCACCTGCCAGCACCACTGCTCCTCCACCTGCCAGCACCCAGCCAACATCCCTGCTCCTCCACCTGTAACATCACTGCCCCTCCACCTGCCATACAGTAGGTTACTAACATACACTAACAAGATTACTTATATAATACAGTGATAGAATACATGTTTAGTATGCTTACTTATATACAACAGTAGTATTAAACTTACCTTGTGTTTTCACTATCACTTAGGTCCCTCTCCCTTTGCCATCATTTCAAAATCAGCTGAGCTGCAACATAATACAGACAGGTAATAAAAAAACACTCACCCATAAATTACGTTTTTGTTTACTGTTTGGAAGTCTCAAATATGCACTCTAAATTAATATCAATAGCGATGTATCACACAAATAGCTCTCTTCCTTATTATTGTGTAACGTTAACTTTATTATACTAGCTTGTAGGCCTACTCCAAAATGGAGATCGTAATTTCTCCACCTCCACTCATTACAATCACACGTGCCCCAATGTTATATTTAACTAATATTATATTCCTCCACCCCACAAAAAATCACGTTTAGAAGCCCTTTTTCTCTAATTCCACAACATTGTATTGAAATAACATTAGGAGAACGGATTAATAGGCTGTTCATGGTTAACGTGTGTTGCTAACTTTATCCGGTATCCTAGCTTAATATGTTATCTGTAAACTTTCCCTAAATGAGTAGATTATGGGATAATCCACTAACATCCTTTAATACACATGTTAATTTGACTCAGATGTGCTGATAATATCCGCAATATAAATCTTTAAACGTCTTCTTACTTTTAAAAGTCCATCACGAACGCTGCAACTCTACTGCGCTGCTAGCCTCTCGAGTCAATAGTCCCCCGGAAGTCAGCGGCAAGCTAACTTCCGGGGAACTATTGATGGCTCCACGATCCGCCATTGCTGTAAAACAACGGGTCCATTGGAGTGAACGGAGATGTCGTAACTCTTCTATTATACGGCTCTGGGTGGGCCCAGTGACAGAGTGGGTGGGCCTAGGCCCAGTAGGCCCACCCATAACGCCGCGGCTGCATTAGCCTCAACTGCACTTTGTATTTGATGCTAATTAGCTAATGATAAAGCGCTAACAAGCTTCGTTAAAAATACCTGGAAAACATTAGCATGATCACATTGTTTTTTTAAGCGTGTTAGCCAGCTACTTAGCAATTAGCTCAAAGCCAAACTAAGTAGCGCCTTTTAATATTTTTAGACAAACAGATAAACACATTATTTCCTCTCCCTCTTTTCTTAAACTCTGGGATTACATGTTTCCCTTTCCTCTCTTTTTCTCTCCTCGTTTGGGAAGGTGGCAAGAATGACAAATTGCATTTATTTGCAAAACTTGCGCTGTAGCATTATTAGCACCATTATCTTTTGTGAATCGAACCTTCAGACGAGCAAAGCAACTATGCGCTACTATTAATGCTATCATCCTCTGCAAATCACTTTTTGTGTATAGTCCTCGTTTCAGACTCCAGTTGGTTGATGAACTATTCATATCCTCAGTCTCTTGGCAAACAAATATACTTGACTAACACATTTTGTTGCCGTTGCTGTAAATGACCATGGACTTTTTATTTACATTTGCTGAAAGCTTTTCCCAGAAATCTGTCGGCCTAGTGCGGTTACAAAGTGGCAACGCGCCTAAGGATTCATTCCCTGACCGCAGGGTGAACCCTTGTTGTTGAGACCCTGATGTATCATGCATGTTATTGATGTCTCCTCCCTCTGTGTCTCTTTTTGTTCGTACATGATGTCCATCACTTTGACCTTGCATACGTTGATTGGATCCTGCAAACCCACTTCACCTGGCAGGAAGGCAGGGAGGGTGTTTATGCAACACACAGTTTTATATTAGCACCGTTGGACCCCCTGCCCCCTTCTCAGCCTGGCTTTTATAATCTCCCCTGATCTAATTTTGTCACCTCTCTCACTCTCTATCATCAGCAGGTAGGACGCATCCTCATGGCAACCCACATCCGTGACGGAGTGAACTCCGTGGAGTGACACTCGCAGCTCAACGAGGCTCCCTCCTGTCAGATGGAGGGAGTAAATACAGCGGCAAGCTTTGGGACAAACTCCCCTCTCTTCGGCAGAAACAGGAAATGTCGTAACTGTATGTAAGAACGGTTTCTGATCAGCATCTCTTAGACAAAAAATAAAAATTAATAACTAAAATAAAACTCCAAACATCTTTAATTGTGCTCTTTTAGTTTTAAACCTGATTTTTATAAGCTTCTTAGTTTTTGCAACAGTCTGTAAATATACACAACTTTATAATAAAATGCACACATTTACATTTTTCTAGATTAAACACAGGTATGATCCTAAGTTAAAAAAATATGAGGTTATCATGAGGTTGTTGACATCACAAATTATCAGTGGATGTTTGCTGGAACTACTTGTAAACAGTGTGTTTCCTGACGGACACACACAGCGTTGAGACGGAGACCGGTCAGGTTGAGGGTGTTTCTCAATGTCGAGTACGCTTGCTTGGTAGCACATGTCTTCCGAGTCACTTGCTTCAGAAGTGAGGCAGAATACTTCCTGGCATTCGGAAAACAAAGAGTGGAACAAGCGAGCAAGTAAAAGGTAATATAATATTGATTACAATTATTCTATTAAAAAATCCACCAAACATGATCAACAGGAAAGCCCTCTGAAGGCTTGTTATGGTTTGAAAAAAAGTTGAGGATGGGGTCCAGACAGTTCAATCAGGAGAGACTTCATTTTGTTTAAAGAACATTTATTGACACATGCCATATGATAAATGTTAAGTCTTTGGCGATTAGACCCCGATCCTGAAATCGTATATCTAAAGGGGGAAATGCAGCCGTGAGCATATAGGGAACCCCCCGGGGTCTAGACACTGGTGATGATGCTGAAGATCTGGATTTGATGAGGAGATGGGATGACGAGGAGGTGTGATGAGGTCTTTGGATTAGCTCTCCTGGCACTGGATATGATGAAAGGAGGTGGATGGGGAGGAGGCGGGCGGCAGCATGAACACCTGGAATCACAGCTGACTGCAGGAGAGAGGAGAACCATTTTAAAGTTTGGCTGCAGCACGATGATTGGCTGCTGGAGATTTTTTTTAATTTTTTTTTATTTAGCCTTTATTTATACAGGTGTAAAAAAATCTCATTGAGACACAAGAGCCGCGTTCACACCGGAGTACTTTTCACCGTGCTTTTCGCGTTTAGTTCCGTGAGTACCCCTTATGTCGCGTTCACACCAAAAATCGTACTTAATCTCGGGTACTTTTACCCCCATTTTTAGAGCCCGCTGGGAGAGCGTACTTTTCTGTGGGTGAAAAGTGCCCCAAAAGTGCCCCAGTGCTGATTGGCTGGGCGAATTGCAAACCACGCCCGTACAACTGTGAACATGTTGTGTGGAGACGCCATTGTTTTTCCTCGCTACACAAACCCAACGCACCAACGGAGCGTTGGGTTTGTTTTTGAAAGCAGTTATGGCAAGCATCAAGAAATGATGAGGAGGTGTCGGCGCTTCTGGAGATCTACGCCGAGGATGCGACCCAGGGAATGCTACTGAAGCCAGTTCAGTAGCTTTCACTCGACCTGGGAATCGTGCACAGCCGGCTAAAAATAAAGAAACTCAGGACTACAAACGGCGGATTCAGTGGCCAACGATGACTACCACGACGAAGGTAAAATCAACTACATGCACTGGGGTTTTAATCTGCACAATAATGGTCTCAGATGTACTTTTATTTGCTCAGTAGATCAAGCTAGCCATGCTAGGCTAACACCGGCCCCGAGCTAGCTACATCTAGCTAGCTAGATATTCTCGGCCATAAACGTTTTGACTTGTGAATAACTGTGTAGTGTTTCTGTAATTTGCTTCACTAACTCATTGCACTAATCGTGTGTTTCAGGCGAGGATGGACAACTCTCGGGATTGGAAACAAGCGAGCTTTGCATTCTAGATCACAGCGCTAGCTCGTCGTCCTTACCAGCAACCAAACGCAAAGGTACACACACTGTAACTTTGTCTTGAAAGAACGTTACGCATCGAACTGATGTTCACAATCATGTTTATTTCATAATATTCATCATATTTTATGTTTAACTTGCCTCAACAACATTAAACAAAGTTCAAGCATACATGAAGCACTCTTCAAAAAGGAACAATCCTCCGTGTTTGAACCTCTTAAATCGCTGCATAGCCGATTTATTTGGACTGGATTATCCCAGAGAGGCTAAACATTCTTTATAACACAGTTTCAGATTTGTGAAACCTTTAATTCTATTTGTGAAAATACAAAAAAGAGAGATTTTAGTGCTTTTTCGCATCCTGGCCACATTAGACCAGGTCCTGATCTAAAACCACTATACCTAGACTCATCAAATCTGGACTGGCTTATCCCAGAGAGGCTAAACATTCTTTATAACACAATTTCAGATTTGTGAAACCTTAATTCTATTTGTGAAAATACCAAAAAGACATTCCTAGTATGTTGTAAAACTACATGGCGACTAAACAGATCTTGTATCTTGCTTATTTTCCCCTCTTAGGAAAGCGGACACGGGATGCGAATGTCTTTGACACCGCCCAGGCGTTGGAGGACCGGCGTGCCGTGGTGAAAGAGTCGATGCACGGGGATCAGATGGTGCTGTTCACCAAGGCCCAGGAAACGGAGGACAAGATGCTCACCAGTTCATTTTATATTATTGTTATTACTGTTA